AAAAGAGATATATATTGGGTTGTGATGTCGTACAAAAAGTGAATCCGGACAGAGCTGCTTGTTCAGCATGCGTTTACCTTCCTTCCTGGGTTCCAATCCAAACAGTTCCCGGAGAGTCCCCTGACATAAACAGAAACAGGAACGCGTCAGAGGAAAATCCCGCCTAGCCGAGCGGCGCTGATCGGTTTCCAGTAAAACACCGGCGCGGCTGGGAAGAAACTAAACAAAGTTGGGGGAATGTTTGCGAGGGGGTGCGGGCACTGACCAACGGGGGGCACGGCACAGATGCAGAGGGCAGGAGCTGTGGGGGGGAGGCTGAACTGATCCAGGACAGTGTTGGGTCGGGCGGGGTCAATCACTGAGACGGCACTGCTGGAGGCGGGGCCAGAAACTACCCACACGGAGCACTGACCGAGTTTGGAAAAGATGTTCATTAAGGTTGACCGCTGGGATGAACGAGCGGGAGAAACTTACCGTTGCCTCTCCCGAGAGCTCCGGCGGGACCGCCACCGCACAGTTCAGCTGAAAAAGAAAGCGGCGTTTGATGTCGAAAGGCTGTCCGGGCACGGCGTCTGCATGAACGCGCCTCACCTTTGCGGTGCAGTCTCTTTGGTCTAGGAGTCGAAGCTGCGTCAGGACCGGCACGTCTTGGGGCTCCGGGACCGCTTCCTGAGATTCCTACGGCCACAGAGGATTGAGGACATGCACGAAAAAGAAGGTTCGACTGGGGCGGCCTTCCCCTTACCTGAGTGTTAGCCAGGGGCACGCTCCAGCCGTGCAGCTGACGCTTTCCGAGAGTTCCCCAAACGTGCGAGCGAATTTCCCTGTAGAGTTCCCTCCTCCTGGCGCGAGGTGATAAAACCGGAGCGGCAGATGATCTGGGGGCGGGAGCATTGGCCCAAACGGGAGCCATCAGAACTGGAAAAACATGTGCCAACGTAGCTCACCGGGCGGGGAATTGCCAACTGTTTTCTGCTCATGTCTCACGAGGACAATTCAGCTTCCAGAATGAAGTCATTTTAAGTTTGGCTCAAACTTCCTTTTGAAAGACAATAACAAAATCAATTATGTGGAAAATGGAAAAATTACATTTACCATTGTTTTCATTTATTTGATCCAATCATTGTTAGACGGATTCATTGTCGTCAAACAAAATAACATTGGTCAACTAAACACATTTATAAATGTTTATGAATTGATTGATCTATTTATTGCAAACAACAAAATAAAAATATGATTGAAAGAAAACACTTCAAACATTTTACTCTTAAAAAGATTGAGTAATAGTTCAACCGAACCCTTTTTCGTCGTTTTCTAAAATAATTTCCCAATGCATTTATTGTAAACAATACCATAAAAAGAGGAGGAAAATGACAAACTCGACTTTAAAAGTAATCATAGATTTGATCAAATAATGGATTGCTGACAATGAAATACTCAACATTATGAATTCTTTTTCATTCATCTGATGAAATAGTTGCTTTAGTCATCATTGATTTATTGCAAAAACTATTGCAAAACTTCAAATTATAATCAAAATGTCATGTTAACTTTCTGCACCCCCTACAGATTGAGGTCAATTTTTTTAATTTGATGAGGTCGTGCACCTAACGTAGGATAACGGCAGGGCGATATGGCCACAAACACAAAACGCTCGCTTACTGGGCCTGACGCTGACCGACTTCCTGTCGCTGTTGAGGCGGCGGCAGAGGAGGGAGAGCGACCGATGGGAAAGCGGCGCGAGGTAGGATCAACGGCTGTTTGGTCAGGCCAAAAAAGCGATTGAACCTTTCAAAGAAAACAAAACCCAGATCAGACGAGCAATTGAGATTGATAACCCTGGCGATCCAAAGTGAGGCGTCCATTTTGACCCCACAGCCCAAAACAAAACTTACTTGGCCCAAACACTTGACCTTCTCTCCTCTGAGAGCCTTTCTTCTTTTGTTGCCCTACGCGAGAGGGGGGAAAAAAAGGAAAGGCGACTTCAGTCACGCGGTGTCAAAAATGCCAAGTCAGACATGAGCTCAGAGGAGAAAACGGCGCGTTACCTGAGTGTCTGGCTTTGCCTCATTGCCTCCTGCAGTTCAAACAGCCGCTGTTTGTACTGGTTCTTCTCCATGACCACCCGAGCCATTTCCGAGCGAGAGAAGTGCCGCATGGAGGTGGCTAATGAGGCCTGGATGGAAAGACGGATGCCAAATGTGTACCTTGACTTCTCAGTGAAACTAATGACGAGTTTTTTTTTTTTTGGTTAGTTTTTTTAGATAGAAGCCGTTGATCAGTCAATTATTTTGTTTCCCGTTGAGCTGCGAGCACAAGATGGTGGCAGCAAATGTTACAATAAGCGGCAAAACGCCATCAATGAGCTAACATAGCTAGCATTGATGTTGCGGTAACTATCAACCTTCAAACAAATTGTACTTGAACACAATCTACAGCAAAATATTCGGAGATCATATAACAGTACTAACAGGTGCATATTCTTTATCCTCTGTGAAAAACTATGAACATTATGGCAGCTTATTTGTGACGCTTGTTTTATCATCAAATCTTTATTATATTGCGCCCTGGTGGGCAAGGCGCGTTATTATTATACATCTGGAAAAAAACCATCAATAGCGTGTTATTTTTCTTCTTAAAAGTCAAGGTGCCACTGGATGGCCAATTAAGTGTACGGTAAGAAAGTGCAATTAAATTACATTTTTACAGTTCTCAGTCAATTTTAACAACAATCTGTTCTTACATCAGGATCCGACGACTGAAATGTCTCCAGTTTTTCTCGAAGTCTGAGAAAGGGGAGGAAAAAATATAAATAAATCACCACACGAGTACAACATAAAACGCGACACGAGCCCACGAAATAAAGTGCACACTGAGACCTTTTAAGTTCCTCCTCTTTCTCCTTCATCCGGCCTTCGACTCGTGCCGCCGTTTCCCTCAGAGAGGTCACTTCCAACTTGAGAGCGGAGCGGTCGTCCGTCAGCTCCACCACCCGATTTATCAGAGCCTTCCGGGCCGTGTCGACCAACTCGCTGAAAGACAAAAGCGAGGGGAAAAGAAAATGAACACTTGGCGCATTCAATTCCTGTGGACTCGAGGGTCAGCTGAAACCCAACGCGGCACTCACTGGGTGCGTTTCAATTCCTCGTACTGAGAAAGAATCTCCTCAAACTGGTCAGCGCTGCCTAGATGAGGGAGAAATCAAAGGGAAGCTTCAACACACCGTGAGGAGCAGTTGCTGACCTTCATGCATTTGAATGGTGCAAAACCCCCCAAAACAAGGATGGTTTTATGAAGTGATCATTCTTCCACATGGACTCAATGTGGAAGTAAGGAGACGCAATAAAAGGAAAGAATGCATAAAAAACAGAATGTCCAAAGTTTGTCATCATTTCAGATGGGAGATCAAAAGTGTGTTGTGTACCAAAAGAGTACGTATCGATGCTGGAATTTTACCGAGCCTTCCTTTGCTCAATTGTGACACGGAACAAACGATAAGAAAACAAACACGCAATGAGCGCCTTCATCCGTGCGCTCCCGATGGCCGTCAATCAACGTGCAGTAAACGGCCAATCAACTCTACACTGTAATTCAAGAACACCCCATCACTCACCAGGCCAGGCCCCGCCTTTTAAAGCTACACACATTCAAAGTCACAGATGCAAAGGTAGAACCTGAGGATGGGGAGCCCGCAAAAACGATACCTGCACCCATCATGCAAGTCATATCAAGTTTTTAAGGGGAGGAGTTTTTGTTAATAGCTACCTCTGATGCTGGCCCCTTGGTCAACACTGTCCACAAAATCCTGACTTAGCTCCGACAGCTCGGAAAAAACCGAGTCCGTGTTGCGTAGTTCCCACTCCATGCTGTCCTCGTCCAACTCCTCCTCCTCCTCCCCGGATTTTTCCTGCTTCGCTCCTCCCGTGAGTTCTTCCACCTTGCCCTCCTTGAGCTCATCCTGCAAGCTGGTCTCAGGAGCTTTCGTGTCGGGTCTTGCTGGGGTACTGACAACATAAGCCGAGCGGATTTGTACACACTGTGGCTTCCGCGGCGGGCAAATCGCATCCCAAGCTTTCAGGGTGAGCTACCTCGTATCAGCCGAGGAGCCGTGAAACTGTCTCAGTTCAGGAGTGGAGCTTATGATGTCGTTGACAAAGCGATCCGAGGCAGACTTGATAATATCGGCCGTCTTCTCTTCTTTGGCTTCCGTATCTTCCAAACACAAAGTACCAGAGTTGGAGTGCGTTCTCTGCTAAAATCAAGCCAGACGCATCCATGAGTTGGCGGCTCATAATGTACAGGAAAAAAAAAAGTTTCTGCAATTTACCTGGGAGCTGGAGTCTGCTAAGACTTGGTTGAAGGAAAATTCAGCATTTTGGTGCCGTGTGTGATTCCTGAATGCATCCCAAAAAAACAAAACGAACAAACAAAGAAAACAAAACAAAACACACATTAGCAAGCTTTGTTGAGCCCCACCGGTTACGAAACACTGTGACACAAGCACGACCCTTGGAGGTAAACTGTTTCACCAGCACGACTAAAACTGTAACACGAGAGAACTGCATGCTACGATTGTCAAATATAACATCACCACAACCTCAGGGGTGAATCTCTTTCCGAGTCCTTCCGCTTTTCCAGCAGTTCCCGATAGGAGTGAGCCAACTAGACGAAAGAGCGCCGAGGATGCGATGGATGAGAAGCCGAACAAGAAAGCGGGTCAACAAAACCACTTTGACGGGGGATGTGGACGGCCGCACGTGATGTCTGACCTTGTTGTGCGCAAGCCTGAGCGTGCTCAGCTCCCTCCCCAGGGCCGACTTCTGCTCCTCCAAGGCCACCACTGCAACGCAACCACAGCAAATATGACTTCCGGTGTCACTGGAGTTTGCTGGTGGAGTTACCGGTTAAGAGGTCTCGAAAGAGCGTGGAAAATAACACCTATTGATTGGTCGCGCCCTCAATAATTGCGTTTGAGTCATCATTGATTTCGAAGAGAGTAAAGTACGGAACGAATTCAAATCCCAAGTCAAGGTACGACCGTATGAAAAGACTCACGGTGATCCGCCTGCTCCCTGGCTTTCTTCTCGAGGCGTCTCTCTCTACTTTCCCGCTCTTTTTCCCTCGCTCTCATGGCTCTCCTTTCCTGCTCTATTTGGTCATCCAGCTCCAAATACCTCTGGAGAGAAACAAAAACTGAAGCATTATATCAAAGCTCAGGAAGCGCAACCACGTGATCCAACGTTGCAACATGCGAGCGTACCTCTTGGCTTTCTTTCCTCTGCGCTTTCTCCGCCTGGTATCGCTCCAGCAGGCCGTCCCGCTCCGCCCTCTCCCTCTCCGCCTCGTCCTCTCGTTCTCTCAGCTGGGCTTTGCAGCTGGCCAGCGCCTCCAGTACCCACACAAAGATGGGTACCAGGGACTCCACCACACCCTCGCCATGGGTCTCGATAACCGTCTGCGTGATGGAAACAAAGCGACGGTTTGAAACGCGGCAGGCAGTGAAACGCAAAAAAAATGACGGGGGAACGGGACCTGCAGTTCGGAATACAGCTTTCCAGCCTCCTCGCTGACAATGTTGGGATCCAGCTCCACTTCCCCCGTCCCGCACAGCACTCTCTCACTGTACTCCATCGGCTTTTTAGCGTCACGCCCACTCAGCATCAATTGCGAGTGACTTTACAACTCGGCGTAATTTATCCGGCTTTGGGACAGTTGCGCAAACTTTGGCTGCACCCATCCTCCGCAAACGTCACGCGCCGCTTGCGCTTGACAAGGGCGGCGTCCTCATGGACTGGAAGTCAGAAAAAAAGGTGATCGGTGAAAATGAAAATGTGACAGTTTCGGCAAGTTTATTCAGCGCCGTTTGGGAGGTTGGAGCATATCGTGGCTAACACCCGAGTGGGAATACTGAATATCATTCATGCTTGGACATGCCTTTTTTTTTTCCTACCCCCAGAACATAATTGGTGGTGAAACATCGGTTGCGGTTCAGAACGCATGACTAACCTGGTGTTTCACGGCAAACAAAAACAAAAGACATTACTCAACATGGGTGATATTTTAATTGCAATGGCATAATAAATAAATAAATAAAAAGAAAAAGGAAATAACTTGATTTTGAAATATGTGCGTATTTTAGAACAGAATGATAGTTACAAAATATTAAACTGAGTGGAGGGAATATTTAATTTGCAACTCAATTTACAGTGTACACCTTAAATTTTCTACTTGTGCCCCTAAAAGTTGAGGTTGGGTGCCACTGTGCATCCAAGTAAAAAATAAATAACAATAAAAAGTTAGTCCGGAGACCTGAAATAACTCTTGAAATTCCTAAAATACCTAAAAAATAGTAATAATAAAAAAAGGGCGGGGGTGTTAATGTACATGTAAAAAGGCTTAACGTGGCTTAATGTCAGAAAACTGCTTGTAATTGACACCAAAATTCACATGCACATCTCAGTTCATGCCCACTTCAACGTCCGACGATATCAAACAACCGCATTCGTGTTTGGGATTTTATGGGCATGAAGGATTTTCCTCCCCATAGACGAAAGAAATCTAAAATAGTATTTTGATATTTTCAGATATTGATGTGGGTATATGCAGAAATGCGCGCACGATATTTTGTGACGATTGGTTGTCGTTTTCTAACATTAAGAAACTTGAAACTCTTTCTCGACAGCGAACGTCTGTGGGTAGAGGAAGGTTTAATGCCTGTAAAATCCGAAATACGGTGGCGATTGTTTTGGTATTTTCAGAGGACGACGTGGGCAAGAGGAGAGAAGTGCAAGTGAATTTTGATCACGATTGGTCGTTGGACGTTCATTTTACATTAAGTGTTTTGGGAAAGTCAAAAAAAGTATATACTGTATCTATCTTGCATCACTGACATGGATAACTGCATACAAACAAACATATTATCAAAACTATAGCAACGGAACTATTGTTCTATTCGTGTAAAGAGAAATTCCGTAGATTTAGAGGAGTTTGCGGATAATTGACAGCATCTTATCTGAGCCTAGTCAGCATTTAGTCATGGAGAAAAAAAAACTCGTGTTCTGTTAAATATTACACTCAACTTCCGTTGTGAGGGTTAGGATACAGTGTGAAACGGTCTAATATGATGGTGACAATATCATCGATAAACTGGCACAAGTATTGGAATGACAGTACTGTATTGAGAAAGCTGTACATTTTGTACATTTTAGAATGGACCTTAGAGGCTAGCTACCGAAAGCTAAACGTGCCACTTTTGAAAAACAGGCTGTATGAATAAATAACGTGACTGACAGGAGACACCTGAGAAGGCAACAGCGGTGCCGTCGGGTTCTTGCTCGACAAACTCACCTTAAATGTTTGACTCCTCTATGTTTTATTTCACTTCTTCCTCTTCTCCCTCCCCGCTAAAAAAAGTCAACTTTCGCTCGGGTTTTTCGTTGCTGGTGGGGGGGGTGTCAATTACCCCCCACCCCCATAGTTGCAAGTTTCGAAAAAGGGGGCAGGGTTTGGGTTTGACGCGTTTCTACTTTTACATCTAGCCAATCATGTTAAAGTATTTATCTTTTGATCCAATAGGAGGGGCCAGGGGGCGGGGTTTTTACGGCTGTGTTTTCGGGGGAGGAAAAAAAAGTTCCTGAAACTTCAAGGTTGACACGTGACCACCTGGTATGTCATGTGACTCGAGTTGACTTCAAGCGCTCATACCTGACTGTGAAAAGAGTTCACATTCAGAAATAAGGTTGCACACTTTTGTCAACCTGACCCCGTGGTTCAACAAAACTAAACTCAGTTTGACCTTTTTAGCTGATGATGACGTCACATTTCATTTAAAAAATCGCACAAAATGACACTCGTGACCAGACAATTTTACCCTATGCCCTATGCTTCCCGAAACGTATTTGTCTAAATGTCTTAACTTTATTTCCTGAGCATATCAGGTTTTTTAAAATATTTTGTTTATTTTTGGTTTTTACGTATGACATGTAAAACCTTGTGCAATAGGGATTTTGGTATGCGTTGTCATTTATAGCTATGACGTCACAGAAACAAAATCTACCTGCTGCTGAACCTAACACCAATTTCAAAACCATCATTAAATATATTACTATATTACATGGTAAATCAGAGGCGTCGAGCAATGGTGAGCAGAAGTTTTACTTTTTTTTTCGTCCAGTCAGATTTCGGCATCTATGTGTTGCCATGTCAAGCTAACCTGCCAGAGGCCTTCGGAATCAGAATTGCCATGTAATTGAACCTATGTTAGCAATAGAACCGTTTCTTCCACCAATCAAATTTCAATTTGTCCTCACAGAGCCAGTGAGATGGCCCTCAGTGACAAAAGCAATATGCATTGTTTAGTGATCAACATCTCTGGTGGCGTCATCATTTTATTGAAGTGTTTTATGATTCTGTCATGTAATTAGAGAAATATTGACTCTGATTGACAGTTTCTTGAAGTGCAACTGAAGGACTCCCACTGCCTATCATGTCTTCAATGATCAAGACAGAACGGAAGAGTTCACATGGGAAATGATTTGCACATTTGCACGTCAGGAGGTGTGTCATCACAACACGTTCCATTTTAATGACACAACTCAAATCCAAATCTCTCGCGACTGTCAATTACACCGTGACCCGTTTAACTGCATTCTCCTCCACAAGCACTTCCTTGCCGTCCTGCCTGGTGCTGCGCCTCCTCTCCCTCCTCCTCTTCGTCAGGATGTAGAAGGCCACCACGCTCCCGACCACGGCAAAACTGAGGGCCAGGATCACCAGTCCCAGCGCCAGTAAGTGAGATGTTCCCCCGCTGAAGTGGTTCAGCTGGTCCCAGGTGCCCACGCCCACGCAGCTGAAGCCGATGAGCGTGCCCCAAAAGCCGAAAGCCAGCATGCACGAGCCGCAGGACAGCTCCACGCCGCCGGTGACCACGGCAATGCCCGCCACAGAGACCACGCCTCCCGGCAAAGACACAGCCTCAGATTTAGGGTCATAGGTCACAGCTGAAGCTGATAGTGTGGAAGCATCAAGGATTTCCATGATGGGATTTTTCACTCCCCCAGCACAATGTTGATGCTTCACCGTCTGTGTTATACGTAACTACCTAAAAAAAAAATAATAATAATAAGTTGTGTGAACTCAAAATGGCTGCAAATGATAACATTTTTAAGTTGGGCCATTCAACAAAATATTTTAACTTTTGCTGATGTGAAAATTGGCTTTCCCGCATTTCACAACAAAGAAATGAGAGTTTACAAACAAAAACAATATTTATTGGGATCTACTTGCTCATTTTTGACACTTGGGGATTATTTAACATGCATTTTGAACATTACTGCCGTTCCTGAGAAAGTAACATTGCGGTAGGGCGGCCATCCCTTTAAAAAAAAAAAAAAAGGCCATTTACAGTGGCGGATGAATCATTTTGAGTGCGAACGTCTACATGAATTTAAATACATGAGGAGAGGAGAGAAAAAAAAATCATAAAGACTTAATTTATGAGGAAAAAGTAAATCTGAACAGTACATACTGAATGGAAGAGTAATTGGCTAAAGTGGGTCGATTGCAACGCTAAAAGAGAAGGAGAATTTTTCACTTTCAAAATGTAATCTCAGCAGCGGCGTAGAGTTTAAACAGCCGAGGAATATATCCACTTAGTGATGTCTTGCAATGCCCTTGCTAAAGGAAATCTATGTATCAGCCAAACTATAAAACAGTCTTCTCATTTTCATTCAACGAAGACTACCTGCCCAATCAGTCTTCCGCCGCCTGCTGTAATGATTCCGAGAAATAAGGGGAGCATAATCTTACTTACCGTAGTGAGAGAAACGTCCCAGGGGAATAAATATTCCCAGTTGGGCCTGCGAGTGACCGTGCCTCTCTCCCAGGACGGCGTGTGCAGAAATGGGCGAAGGCGGCCTCGGTGCGGTCACCTTATCAAATGCGTCACAAGTGGAGGCCTCTCAAGATGGTGGCCGTTCTCGTCAAGATTGTTGTCGGCGTGATGTTTCTTTGTTTGTTCCTGTCTTTCCTCGCGTCCACGAGGAAATGGTCGTCTGTCATTCAGCGTCATTATGAGCCATTAAGTGATATTTATCTTGGAGCTACTCCCTTCCTCTGCGCTGAGCTCTGTCACTCTCAACGCTGGAGCGGTGTCCCGCCAAGGCATTGTTTCAGCTCCCTTAACTATTTGGCTATTTCTTCCCTCATTTTTCAGCAAAAATGCTCTCTTGGTTAGTGTTGGACTCAAATGAATAGCTCTGTTTGGATATTACAAGGTGTCTAACAAGGTCGCAATTATAGAAACCATCAGTGCTACACAAAATAAATAAATAAATAAATAAAATCAGTGTGTGCACATGGCTAAAGAAGTGTTACTAGTTGTGCTTTGGTCAACCAATTACATCCACCAGCACATGGCAATTTATTGTGAACCCCTGAGCAAATTGGATTGACACAAAAAGGCTGAATACTGATGGAAAATTTAAATGAATCTAAGATACAGAATTGGAAGCAGTTCAGCCAAAAGAAATGTGACAAAAGTTAGAGAACTGTGCATGGTTTTGCTGAAATGAACACAATCTGACCAACTAAAATTTGTGGCGAATAGACATTGTCAAAGGAAAATGCTTTACGAAGCAACACAAACATGGTTCAGGAGTGAAACAATCTACGTGCTAATCCCTCACAAGCCTTGTTCGTGTTATTTCAAATCAAAAGTCTAACCAAATAAGGATTTGTGTCAAATGGTGGCTATTGCTAACAACAGTGGTTAACACAAATTGACAAAGGTAAATATGATAAATGACAAAAACATGGTTAAGAAGTATATTAACCTCCAAGAAAACTTGGTTGTATTATCATCATTTAAAATATAGAGCGCCAAAATAAATGTTAGCAGACTAGCGGCTAGCACTACTACTTGTGTTTAATATAAATTGACAAACATAAACATGTTTGTCAAGAGACAAGACGTGGCTAAAACGTTCAGTAATCCATGTACTCATCCAAACAAATTTTTGTTGTATGATAACATCTCTTAAAATAAACAGTGGCAAAATAAACTTTAGCAACGACTGGCTAGTGCTACCAACTGGCTCTCATGCAAACTGACAAAGATAAATGTGTTGTGAAGCAACAAGACATATTGAAATGAAGCAATGCATGGATTAATCCCAAATACTGTTTAGCATTTTTTTAAATAAACAGTGCTGATATCCATGCTAGTGACAACCAGCCGCTAGTGCTAATGGTACAAAACATAAATGGTCTGGTCAATTCTAAAGAAAATGTTTGCCAGTTCACAATATGTTCAAGATGACATTTTAGTTACCATTTGTTTTGTTTTGGGTTTTTTTTGCATGGCTGTCATTACTTTAATTAATGGCTTCTTCAAAATTGTTCTAAACCATCCTTAGCTACCTGTCACCTATTCCAATTAGAAAATGAAGCAATTGGCTCCACATGTGAATGAGCAGCAAATATACATGATCATTTCACATGAGAACGGCAGTCCTTTACTTTAACTTCACCCGGTCTGGGTCAGAGGTAAAATGTCAGGGTGTGTTTTTTAATTCCTTTTTCTGAGGGGCTAATTCTATTAGCCATGACAGCCCTGGGATGTTGGTGATGATGCTAATTGGCTAAGTGGTGGATCGAGTGGGACTGGGAGGCCACGGCTAATCCAATAGATGGACTCACAGAGCATATTTTTATGACGTCAAGCAAAACATCCAGCGCGTTTAATTTAGCGTCATTAAAATGTCAAACCAAGGCCTAGATGTGAACGTTCAACAGACGTCGGAATTTTTTTATTTTGTCGGTTGTCTCCATCGCAGTCAGAGGAAACAAAATTTGGGCCCGGCACTTAAAAGGCCAGAGATCAAATGCGACAGTGTTCGATTGATTAGGCAAACAGAGGCAGTGAAGTCGATGAAAAGTTAGACTGGTCAACTTTGGCCTGTTCTTATAGTCAGTGGTCGTCTGAAGAGAGCCGCGCCTCCAACGGGAAACATCTCGATTCATTTAAGGTTCACGTTACATACTGTACATAGAATCTCTTAAAAGCAACACATGATCTTGTAACGGTCGAGAATTGGGAGAGTCAAAGGGAAAAGCACACAATCAAAAATGAGTCACTCCTTTGAGGCATGCAGCACCATCAAAGAAGTTTATTTCAGTCAAAAGCTCAGCCACCTTAAGTCCCGCATTAACAGAATTATCCTGGTCCCACATTAGGAGATGGTTTCCCCCCTTGCCCTGCTTACCTCCAACTTATCTCTTACGCCGCTGAGACGCTCGACGTACACGCAGACGGGTAAGTTCTCATCTCTCCTTCTTGGGTTTTAGACATTTTCAGGTGGAATTTTGTATCTGGACTGTACTTGAATCCGCTACAGGGATCACTGCGGTGGATCTTGACGTGACAGCCTGCGATAAGGAAGAGGCTCAAACGCCGCCTCTATTCTAAGACACTTGCCAAATCCAACCATGGGGAATAGCACGAGTAGCGCCTTGTCCAAGGAAATCCTGGAGGACCTGAAGCTGAACACCAAGTTTACCGAGCACGAGATCGGCCAGTGGTACGAGAATTTCCAGAAACAGTGCCCGACGGGGCGCATCACGCCCGAGGAGTTCGAGCAGATCTACGCCCGCTTCTTCCCGGACAGCGACACCAAGAGCTACGCCCGCCACGTGTTCCGCTCCTTCGACACCAATGACGACGGCACGCTGGACTTCAAGGAGTACATCATCGCCCTGCATATGACCTCCAGCGGGAAGATCACCAGGAAGCTGGAGTGGGCCTTCTCGCTCTTCGACGTGGACAAGAACGGATACATCAACAAGACAGAAGTGACGGAAATCTGCCAGGTAAGACGGGCGCCTTCTGGTAGACTCAAAGACTAATCGCCTATCCTTAGCAAAAGGCGTATTGGAGCATCGTTGGACCACATTGATCTTGGATTTTAGTTGTGTGGGTGACAAGGAACAATTTGATGGTCAGGCACAACCACATGTGAAACCATAAATTCAAATCCTTGATCTGTGCACAATGTAAAAAAGACATAGAGAGTCAACCAAGGTTAAAATCTTGGGTCTTCTTAGCAGAAAAAAAAAAAACGGGACATCAGCATCATGAAGGAATGTAAACCAGGCAGCATTAATGATGATGATGAATCCTATTCGAAAAAGCGAAATATTTCCCATTCACGGGTGAATGCAAAAGAATTGTTTTATGTTATCGGCTACAAACATGTAGAAATCATTCTGCCGCTCAAAAGTTCTCTGTCTATTCTGAAAGAGCAAACAGGTAAGGTGTATTTTTCACTAATTCTCAATTACTAATTTTGCATTTTTTTTGGTTGTGCGGGACGTGTTGTCAGTTCAATCCTCAATACTCAGTCAGAGTTTAGCTTGCAGCTAAACTTTGCCCAGTTTCTTAGTATAAGATCTTAGAATGAAAACATGGTAGAATCATTTTGTTGGTGTTTTGGGGATGGTTGGAACGGATTAATGTTGTTTCCATTCGTTTCAATGGGGAAAGATGATTTGGATCCAAATGTTTTGCGGCACAAGCGTGTCACGGAACCAAATGCGAAAACTTGCGAATCAAGGCACGTCATACACACAAGGTATAATCGAACGTGTTTTGCTGGATAAAGTTGGCTGGAACAACCAAAAGACAGAAAAATGTGCCAGTTCCAAATTGTCATCCCACTCCAAAAACACAGATAATTATGTAATATAGATTTTTTTTTTAACTTTTGTACTTGACTACATTTTAGAGACAGTACTTTTTTTTATTTTTTTTTTAATTGAAGTACAATTCTTCAACTTTGACAGATTGTGAGTTGCCACCTTGGTAACACTGTTGACCATTTTGTCTTCCTTCCAGGCCCCTTGTTTCTTCCATTTCCAAGGTGGTGATCCCTGTGTGCAGCTTTTAAGCGCTAATTGCCAGCCCACTTGAGCCCCAGTCTCCACCTAATCTCTAATCTTTAGCTCTCGGGCAGCACGTTTAAGGTCCGTCCCGCTGGACTAATCTGCGTTTCGCTCCCCATTCACCGGCTGTTGTCGTTTAATCCATCAAAGGACCGTCATTGTGCCGCCCCTCAACTCCCACCCTAATCAAGATTGCATGTGAAGTATGTATAAATATATTTTAATCACATCGGCGGCAAAATGGGTACGTTTTACATCCAAGGCAATAGGACAGGTACTTGAGCACCACTTGGGTTCCATGTACTGTATGCATATGCCTGTGACCCGGGATTCCTAGCCCTGCTTGTGCTCAAATGTTGAGCGCAGAAAGTACCAGCAAGGAAAGTTAAACCGTGGTCCTATTTTCTGTAACGGGCCACTGATTGGCTGTTAACATTCTACAAAAGGGGTCAAAAGTCGCCGCACTCCAATGCGATACATACAGAAGGCGCGCTTAAGAGGGGCCAAGATGGAGGCGAGAGCGCTGGAAGTAAGCGAAGATCTCGCTGTTTGGCGGTCGGCCTGAGTCTTGGCTCTAATCCATGTTAATCTAGGTGTCTTAAATGTGGCTTCCTCCTCTCTAAGTGGGACACACACATACGCGCACGCGCTTAAGAAGGGCCTTGCGGCCTTGCCTTGACAGCGTCCTGGTTTGCAGTCATCTGGAGCCCAAGTGGCGCTCGGCGTTTTTGCAGTGAATGTCGTTTCAAAGAGAACCAAGTGGACCGAAAAGATTGGATACGAAGCTTGTGCGCGGCAGCGGTGGGTGACGCATTTTGGTACCTGGTCCCGGAGTGGGGATTTACCCAACTCAATCCAGCGCTTAATACTGCCCTGCCACAATGATGGAACCCATCGACCCCGTCGGCACACAAGTGGACATCAATCTGGAGCTCTATTTAGCCAATAACATGACAAAGTAAACATCAAACAATGAGAATTGAAGATTGTATTGTATTTAACCAGACCACTGAAAGGTATATAGATATGCACTTTTTAATTTTATTTTTTTTGGAGGGGGGGTAGTCAAATTCTGAGTTCTATGACTTGAGGGGGCACTGGACTTTGTCAATGTTTCATAACCCTTCATGAAATCATGACTTGGGTACAAAGCTGTGAGACTGTTTTCTATAATGATCGCTGCTCTTAGGCGATCTTCAAGCTGATCCCCAAGGAGGAACAGAGCAAGCTACCGGAAGACGAGAACACGCCCGAGAAGCGAGCCAACAAGCTCTGGTCCTACTTTGAGAAGAAGGACAACGGTAAGCAGTGTAGTCTTGAACAAATACTTGCTTCGTCCTTCTCTACTTATCGAGTACAGCGCGGGGAGGGCTTTTGTCACCACCGATGCATGCACTTAAGTAGAGTCTTTTTTTCTTTTTTTGTTTTTAACACAAGTACTATATTTGTATTATTTCCCATCAAGTGTACCCAGAGTACTTTTGCTAAATGGCCACTTGTACTTTTATCGATTATTAATTTCAACACAAGTAGCCATTATGTACAGAATAATCTCATTCAAGTCATCCTCAGAAGCATTGTATCTGTATCCTTTTACTTAAATACAGAGTGGATGTACTTTTCCCACCCTCTTTTTTTATACTTAAGTATTTTTAATTTTACTACGACTACTGTATTTGTATTACTTCTATTTCAGTGCAAAATGTGAGTATTTGGTATCTCTGGGTACATTTTACTTTGGTAAAGGAACCGGATGATTACATTTACAAGCACAAGTATCTGTCCTCCTACCAAAGTATAGAGTGTTAATACTTTTGCCACGTCTGGTAAATGTTTTTTTTCTTTTACTGAAGTACAAGAGTTGAATCTGTACTCCCAATTTGCCCAAAGTCTCCACTCCCCCACAAGTATGTGTACTATTTCAACTTCAGCTTCAGTAGAGTATCGTTACTTTTTCTTCCAAATGAGTTAAATAATGATACCTACTTTTGCCATCTTTTTTTCTTTGAGGAATGGGGGAGTACCAACAATGGGTATTAGGCTGATACCAGCCTTATTTTAAGGTATTAGTAGACATGGAAGCTGCTGATACCAGCAAATGATACTAAAAAAAAAAAATAATTTTTTTTTTTTTTTAAATGTATATATAAGTATGCTGCAACTATACTGCAGCAGTCGACACATCGGTGAATCATCATGTGCGTATGAAAGAAAATTATTTGTACACCTTGTATTCAAGGACACGGTACTTTTGCCACTTCTGACTGTAGAAAGAACCCCACCCCCAAAATAAATAAATAAAATCACTGAACCAAACTTCAATTCGGAAGGGGGTGAACATCTGCGTGCTACCTTTCCTCAGCAGCTGTTCGCACACATGCACGGAGATTAGATTTGACAATCAGCTGCTTCACCCCCCCACCCCCACCCCCCTCACACACACAAAAAAAGAAAAAGCGGAATAAATCCACCTGTGGGCTCGGGAAAGCACATGACGGCTGGCGTGCGAGCTTTGTTCCATCCTCAGCTGACTCCTTTGTTTCGGCATGCACGTAAGATCAGAGCGGATTTCTCGCACAAGTGGTTTTAGACTTGCGCTCAACTGTTTTGGGTGTCTCTTGACTTTTGCGCCTCACAGAGCGACTGGCCGAAGGAGAGTTCATCAAGGGAGTGATTGAGAATGAAAATGCAATGCGGCTCATCCACTACGGACCGCTGAAACAGTGAAAGGCCACGTTTGCGATGCCACCGAGTCTGCTCCGTTTCCTCCCTGTCTTTTTTGAACATCCCCCCACAAGTGTAAATATTTTGGGTTACTTCTTTGACAGAAAGTGATATCAAATGTCTTATTCTTTTACTCATGTTTGTCATATACTGTATCATCTAAAACCAAAATGATTCATGACTTGTTTGGAAATGACGCGAGGAAAGTGTTACAAAGACTTCAGATTTGTGTTAGAGATGTTAATAGAAAGCAGATACACTTTTTGTTGGTTTTTTTTTAGGACCCTTTTGAAATTGAGCTCGGTCCCAGATTTCATCCGGCAATTTTGAAGAATCTCAATCCAATTCATTTTTAGCATAACAGAACGTTAAAACCAACTTTAAATAAGAAGATTGCATATATGTGGATATGAAATTTGAGATTCGTCCAAAAGAAAAATAAGAAAATAAACATACAGACAAAACATATTTCTTAAATGAATACCACACACACACACACACACACACACACATACAGATTTTAAAAAATGAGTATTTAATTTAATTGGCCAGAATATGAATAATTCTGGGGCTTCATTCACTAAAGGAAGATAAAGTGCAACGAACAGGTTAGCCAGTTAACAGCCGGCCAACTCTACACAAATTCACTGACACCCACGTCACTCACCAGGCCTGGCAGTCCTTGCTTCCGAAAGCTCTACACGCTCAAAGTCACAGATACTACAGTAGAACGCGAGAGTGGTGACACCAATTTGATTCTGGATCCGATGACTCAATTAATGAATAGCTTCTGTATTGTCAAACTATCAGATAGCTTCAGGCGTCGACCTAAGATGAGCTGTTTTTGTGTCAACAAGGTCGACGAGAAACTATTTGTCGCTCATCTCAAATGACTGTTTCTCATCAGCTTTTATTATTTTGTTGAGTGATGAGTGTTTTTTTTTCATCCTGTTGATTAGAAGGATATTTTAGCTCTCATTGAGTCGCATGTTGTCATTCTCGACACAACTTGGGAATGATGCACGCCATCATAGAAGTGTCATAGTTGATGGTTTGCTGATATGCTCCATTGTTTTGTTTTGGTTTTTGTTTTTTTGTTTTTTTTACAGCTATTGAAACGAATGTAGTCATTTTACTCCTGATGTATTGTAACTCGAAACTATACGGTGTAGCATATGACATTAAAGATTTTTGTCATACATGTCGACTTGAATCGATTTATTCTCAATCCAAAATTCAAAGTGAAAGCGGTGAATAATGCTTAAAAAAAAAAAAAAACAACAAAACACCATGGCACAGTTCTAATTGTTCATTCTGAACTCATGAAAAGCAGTTGCAAGCTTTTTTAAAGGTGAAAAAAAAAACGTGTTCACTGTTTCAATCCAGTTCAGAAATATTTTCAATCTATTTTTAAGGAATAGATGTGCACACACAGACATCTCGAGTGCAACGATATCCAGTAGAATTGGACTGTACCTGACAGCAGTGGCGGTTGCTGAAGCTTTTCAGTTGTATTTATCCCAGACGGTCAATCCAGGATTATCCCGAATGTGTAACCTAGAGACATTCAGATGAATTTGGCCACACTCATTTGAAAGTAGGAGGAACATTTTTTTTTTTGGAGCTTTCGATAGGGGAAGCATATTCTGCGCCGTTGCCACGCCAACCTTCTTTTTGTGCGCGCGTGCCAGCTCTCCTTTCCAACTTTCCTCCTGACCCGCCGCAACGCGGTTGAGCCATCTCTCCTTGCCCGTCTTTGCATCCAACTGTGGATTACTGCTTTACACATAATCTTCTGTTCAACATCAGAGAGCAGACTTTTCAAAATCTCGATAATCTCGCAGAGTCTATCGACGCTCGGCCTATCTATGGCGCGGGTTGGCAAGATGGCCGTCGATGTCGGACCGGGATCGATGAGCGCGTGTTGTTGCATCTCAACAGGGGAAGAAAACGTTCCGTCCACATTTCATGTTTGTCTCCTTAACACGTGTGACAATTTGAAATTTTGGTTCAGACTTTAGCAAGCATCATGGAACTTGACATACTTGATTTGCTTTTGCGGGCCACATCAAATGATGTGGCGGGCCAGATCTGGCCCCCGGGCCTTGACTTTGACACCTGTGCCTGAACATATGCGGAATGAATGAATGAATATCCGAGACATTTGACATGCATTTCTGTATTCAAATGCGTCACCCGCTGTGCAAATGAATGACTCGCACCGAAAAAAAAAGTTTTTTGTTGAATTGACTCCATTTTATTTCGTCAAGTGGTCGCATGAAAGAAAATCATCTGGATCCAAATGATTTGATTTTCTACAAACACTTGACAAAATAAATGTTGCCATCGATCAAACAGAAACTTTTTGTGGCGACCCCCCCCCCCATGATGAAGCCTGTGATAAATTCTGACTTGACAGCCTTGCTCACGCAAATCATTTTTTGAATTGAACAATTTTTCCATACTTTTCCATGATATCCCATTTTATTGAACCATCGCTTTACAATATTTGAACGGTGTTCAACTGCAGTAACACTGTGAAATGTGATTATTTCATCAAAGCGTCACAAAGCGGAGCTTTATTGTCTTTGTAAAAGCAAAATTGGTGACAGAGCTTTGACCGTACCTGCGGGTGTTGGCGCTACGGGAACGGATCGTTTTTGTCCTCGGTTGTTGTGCCCATTGCTCTGTCGCCGCTCCCGTCAGATGAGTGAGAAGAATCATTCTTGATCTGCTCAACCTCTAAAGTCCCTTGAGATAACTTTTGCTCTGAACTGGAGCTCGATCAAGAAAATTGAGGGGACTTGATTGACTCTTAAGAGACTCTCGTTAGATTCTGTGGGTGTACCTAATGAAGCGTCTGGTGAACGTGGATTGCGTTTGTACACACATATGTTCGCCTTTCTCCCGTGAGGCACTGAGAAAACCCCCAGAGAGCATGCATCGCCGCATGTCACTCTGGCCGGTGGTCATTGTGGGCGGATTTGATATGTACTGAGTTTGAGCAAAGTTTCCTTCACCTTGTTCGTGAGTCTCCAGCTTCAGTTTTTAAGTTCCTCGAGGGATGGAGGGTGGTGGTCTCTCTCCCTCCCTCCCTCTCGCCCCCTCTCTCTCTCTCTCTCTCTCTCTCTCTCTCTCTCTCTCTCTCTCTCAGCAAGGGGAGTCCACTCGGTCCACAGGCCCCTCCATCTCGTCCATCTCCCGCTCGCAGTCTTCGCAGCCCTCCGGCCCGCAGCCTCCCACTAAAACCAGCGTAGGCACGTCCCCATTGCCCACGCCGACCACGCTGCCGTTGGGGGCCCAGGCCACGTCGATCATGCCGTCGGGACACTGCAGCAGGCCGCTAACGGAGTAAAAGCCCCCCGCGCCGCCGCCGCCGCCGCCGGAGACCACCTCCTCGTAGCAGGGGGCCCGGGCGGCGGCCCGCGCCTCCTCCAGGCGAAGCCTCTGTTTGCGGCGCAGCTCGATGATGGTCTTTGTGTAGGAGTTGAGCGTCACCACGGCGGCGCCCATGCAGCAGCTGAAGGACACCCAGGCGAGACTACAAGCAGCACATGTTGAAAGCATTAGTCTGGAAAGAAAATATCGTCATGCCTGGTCAAACTAAAACTACGTTTCAAATAGAATTATGCCACCCCCCCCCAAAAAAAAGGGGGTCATAATAATTGAGGAGTTGCTATCTAGCCATTTTATGCATGTTTGGCAGAAACCTACGCAAAAGACCAGCCATAGTCCCAGGTCTGAGGCCTCCAGTCTTTGGGGCCCACAATGACCGTCATCTGGAACACGGTGGTGTACATCATGTGGGCCACCATCCCCAGAAGACCTGCAATGGGGATGGAACGTGAGGAATACATAAAAGAAAGAAAGAAAAAAAATTTGGATGACTGTCATGGACTTGACTTTGGAATCAGCCAGCCCTCCATCAATATTGGGACTCAGAAAAAAACCACTAGAACCGACACTTCTTGTGGGAACTTTGTCCAGATCATGCAAAAAAAAAAAAAAAAAAACAACCATTCCTCAAAATAAAATGGATCCTTCCTCATCACAATCTTGGTGAAGTCGATGCGAAATAGCGCTCCCCTTTTGTTCTTCCTCACCTGACAGCACAGTGCACATCGCAGCGTAGGCACTGATTTTGAGCGAGTGCATCTCTTTGTGAGAGCACAACACTTCCAGCCACATGAGCAAGAAGCCCATCCCGAGCAGGCCGATGTACGTGAACTCGGATATGACCGACAGCCAAAGCACACCTGCCGCAAGGACAGCAAAGCACAATCAAGGAGGAATTGAACAAGCTTCGCTCGTGTCAAGAACATTCGTCTCACCTTGCGTCTCCCCTGGAGTCAACTCGATAAAGCTCCTGCATTTCTCCCCTGCCAAGAAGAGCAAGCGTTGGTCAGGAGAAAATGAAAAGGAGTCCAAGCAAGCGTTTCCACTGACCATTCACGGTGGGCATTTTCCAACATTTTTGAAAATGCTCCAGGGAGCCACTAGGGCGGCACCAAAGGGCCGCATGCGGCTCTGGAGCCGCGGGTTGCCGACCCCTGCACTAATCCATCCCTCGTACCAAAACATGCACTCGCATTGCCAGAAAATTCTCATTCACCCACTCTTGGATTCACACACTCACACACACACACACACACACACACACACACACACACACACACACACACACACACAATTTTGAATTCTAAACAGGTATGCCACAGCGGCCATCAAATTAACCACATGGCTTACTTGATAAGAGTTGTAGGCGGTGAGTGCGTTTTCTGCGCCCCTACCAAGATGCATGATGGCCTTGATTGTTAAATCTTTTTTTTTTTTTTTTTTTTAAAAGACACATTGCCCTAAATTGCTGTGTCAATCTCGCCCTCCCACCTCTGCTCACCGTCATTGTGTTTCTCGCAGCTTTCCCAAAAGCCGGTGTGGAAGTATCGAAACGCAAACTTGTCCTCGCCCGTCTCCCAGATGTAGTGAACGGCGTTGGCCAGCTGCCTCTGGCGGATCTTGGCCAGCTCCTCTCGTCTGGCTGGAGACAGCGTGCGGTTGAACGGGTTTTGGGTCGGGCTCTCTGCGGGCACAACACACGAGCAGGGTGACGTTCACACACACACACACACACACACACACACCCACACACACACACACACACTTTGTGACATAGTTTGAACAACTTCAGTTTTTTTTTTCAGTCAACGCTAAGGTGATGATCGTCAAGTCAATATTAACCAGTCACCGACGCCGTTGATATGTATTTTTTTTTTTCAGCTCCGAACTCGCTTTCCACGCAACTGTTTGTCCTCAGCCTCCAAAGACGAGCCGACTCCGCGGCCACCTCCTCCAGCCCTGCGGATCTTAAAATTCAGAATCTATTTTCTTTCTCATCTCCTGGGACAACTCTCTCTCCTCCGCTTCCTCTGGCCATCGTTTAGTGTGCTACAAACCTTGTCACCAAAACCTCACAGTGACTATTTGTCGCCCTTTAAGTAGCCCGACTGACTGATTACAAGTTTGAAGACACTTGTGACACTAATTAGAGGACACGCCTTGGTTGAGCATTTTCCATTTTTTTTCTAGGGGGACCATCTTTTTTTGCCCGGGGCCCGTTTCATGAGGGTTTTTGAGGCGCCGCTGCTAGCATGTTACATCGACCCACCACATGCCGATTTAAGCATTTTGGTCACGCCTAAACACGTGATCGTGATGAATCGATTTTGAGATCTCAAAACAAAACAAAAATAATCGTAGTGTGTCTCCTTACATTGCATTGCAATTTGAATAACGAATGTTTGTAGTTGTGACGGTTTGTGTACGTACAAATGCCGCACCGTAGCAGCGTCAAAAACGGATTTCCCTCTGGGAAGATAAAGTTCATTCAACCCTGTCCTATACTAACCTAACGCCAATCTCATTAGGGTCCATAAATCCGGTCGAGAGATGTCACAATGACATTAAGACGACGCTGTACATTGCTACAGGGACATCCTGTAGTTTTGAGATGTACACGGCGTACAGTGTGAGCCGAGTAAATTCCTTTATGCACTTAATCCCTTTGTGAATTAAGCGTATACGGTGGGGAAATAAGGAGCAGATCTGTAAACTGCGGAGACCTGCGAGGGGTGTCCGCAGATTAAAGTAATCCAGAATTAAAAGGGAGCTGTGGGTAAAATGATTTTTTTTTTTTTTAAATGTCAAAAAAGGCTTTTCAAGAAGCCTGAACATTCATCAATATGGATTAGTTGCAGGTATTGCCAGCGTATTGCAGTGACACAGTATAAAGATGGAAGAACTCGCTTCAAGTCTCACCGGGATCAACCAGGACAGAAAATGCTTTGAGTAAACCAGCCAGAAATCGGTCAACGTTCATCTTAATGACTGTGTCGTGAAAACAGAAACAGAATCCACTCACTGGAGAAAGCATTTTCAATCTCCATTTTTTTTTTTCCTCCCGCTGCTAAACTCATGTTCAAAGTTCACGCCAAGAAAGACGGGAGACCTGCAGATGAGCATCCTCGAGATTTTGAAGAGGTGGAAATCAAGCACAGTACCTGTGGTGTAAGGCTCGCTGTTGTTCTGCCCGCAGTTCTTCATCTTGACCGGCGACAGGCAGAGGGGCTTGACCACCTTGTGGGTTCCCTCGCACCAGTAGGAGGTGCACAGGGCCAGGATGGAGAGCGCCAGGGCCAAAGAGGTCAAGGTCAGGGAGAGCAGCGAGCGAGAGCGGCGCGACATGCGCTCCGGCATGGCCGAAGGCGCCGGCGCAGGGTGGGAGACGAATGCGGCGCGCGGAGCGGAGCGGCGCGGCGCGGCGCGGCGCGGCGGCTAGCGGGGCAAAAGAGGGACGCGGGAACAGATGCTTCCGGTGGTGGGGAGGCGGGTCGGGAGGTGATGAGCTGCCAGGTTTAATAAACCGTGCGGCAAAGATGAATGTGACGTAACCGCCAGAGAGTGATTAAAAGGGCGGGCAGGGGGAGGAAGATGCTGTCAAGTTGATGCATGTGCAGGCAAACAGATGGAGGTAAAAATGCACAAGAGGGGATTTCCAAGGTTCGCCAAAGGAGAGCACTGCTGGAGGAGGGCTTGCCTGGAAAGCTTACTATTGATTTTTTTTCTTTCTTTTTTTTTTTTTTGGTTGTTTGGCCACTGTTACCTAACTGGGCCTTT